TAGTAATGCGCTTGCTATAGATAGCAGCTAGCTAAGTGCCTATAAATTAATAAGTCTAATACCTTATCTAATACTAATACATTAGCACTTACATTTTATTAAAGTTATAATAAAGGACTTAGCAGTTATTTATAATGCATAAAGTGCTTACTTACTCTAGCAGAGAGGTTTATTATTAGTTTAAGCTACATTCTAGGCAACCTCTTAAACAAGACAGCAGAAAGGAGTAATTACAAAGAAGAACTTAGTATTATGTTATTTAGACTAATAAAACTTAATCTGCTAAAAAAGTGTAACTATTTATAGTTAGTAATAAGTATTAGATAGTAAAAATAAAATTTAATAAACTTTTATTCTTTTTAAGCTTCTAGCCCTTACTAGTTCCCTTCTAAGCTAGAACCTAAATGCTAGTCTTCTTATACATAACACGCTCTAAAAGCAGCAAATTAGCACACCTTAAACATAAACCCTTTAGAACTATAGGCTTCTTAAAAGGGTGTTTGCCTTTATTAGGCCTAGGAACAAAAGCTTTGCAGAGAGCTTTAGTAGCAATAGCCTTCTTTCTAAAGAGAGCTATAATGCATTAGCAGTGTCTATTACTATGTCTAATACTATAATTATACTCTTCCTAGCAGCATTAACATAAACAGGTTAAAAGCAAGACATTTTTAACAAAGTAAATGTTATAATAAAGTAAAAAAGCTATGCAACATGTTACTAAGCTATAATATTAGCATAAAAACAGCTTTAGAAGTAAATAAAGGCTTATAAAAAGTATAATAAAGTAGTAAAGTAATTACGCAGTAAGTTGCATTAAGAGTGTTAGTAGAAAAGTCTTAAAAGTTAAATAGTAAACTTTTAAGCTATACTTTTACTTTTATAAACTTACTTAGATTTTTACTACTACTTTTACCCTCCTACTGCATTTTTATTATAGTAGATAATTACATAAACTTCTACACAACTAACTTTTATAATCTACATGTAGAATACTCTTAAACTAGTATATAAAGTAGTATTAGACATAGTATTAAACATATTATAGTAAAATAAGTAGAAGTGTCGGTTGACCTAGGTTCGATCGAACGAACGTACGCCCAAGGGGCGTACCAAGAGGTGAGCAGGCAACACAATGTATTGATTCTGGTGACGGCTGCCATCCCAAGTACGTTGGGATGGCTGGTTTTATACTGGCCCCCTGCCAAGCCCGCACAGATATCACGTGAGATAAGCTTACATAATATCCATATAAAGTTAGATTAATATACCTGTGATTAATGTTTAGACACTAGCAACTTTTGTTCTTATAGAGTTGCTTACTTATCTATACGTTAATCCTACTCCTTCTTCTTTTAGAGTGGACCCTTAATACCTCTTCTATTTATAATATCCCCTAGCTTCTTAGCCTGCGTACAATTCGCCTTCCCTCTAGGATAGTGCCTGTGCTCTGCGTAGGCAAGCAATAGCTCTCGCCTAATTGCATAGGGGAGGAGGTTAAAATCGTGCGTTGTCTATCTCTAAAAGTTGTTGTCCTATAGTGTGTACTCCCTTCTAGCTATCTTATAACGCATGTTAATTAAGATGTATACTGCGTACAAGCATTATTATAGTTGTGTAGGGTTTATATCTATGTTAAGACAATTATCTCTTACAAGGTAAAGGTCCACTTCTCTGCGTAGAACTGTCTCTAATACATAAGTAACCCCTAACAACTCTTTGTATGACCACAGAGGTTCCATGGCTAAGGTGGGGGGTGGGAGGTGTGAGGTGTTAGGGGTGCCCTTCGTGCGGGCAATTAATCCCCAGGGGGGGGGGGGGGGGGGGAGGTGTTGGTTGATCGCCTTTTGTGCGAGCGATAGATCCCTAGGGGGGTAGGGGGTGTTAGTTGGTCGCCTTCCGTGCGAGCGACTGATCGAGGGGGGGGGTGTTAATGAGGCGGGCTGCTGATGAGGAGCCTCCTCTGCGTGGCTACGCACGCGGTAGGTTTCTAATCATGCGGCCTGTATCATCTCCTCTGCGTGGCTACGCACGCGGTAGGCGAGTGGTTGCACAGCCTGTGTCAACAGGAGGCTCTAGGGCGCACAAAGGCTCAGCAGTAAGCCCTCTCTGCGTGGCTACGCACGCAGCAGGTTGCTAATCTTGTCTTTGTGCAATTAGTTAATCTAGGGGCGCGCATAAGGCTTGCTTACCCCTCTCTGTGTGGCTACGCACACAGTAGATGTGAGCTTCTTTGTACCTTCTCTGCGTAGCTACACACGCGGTAGGTGTGAGCTTCTTGTACAGTAGCAGTTTTGTTAATCCTTGCAAATCTGTCTGTTAAGGACAATATCCTCTGCGTGGCTACGCACACAGTAAATAGTCTGTTAACAGACTAATTAGTGTTAGTTAACCTAGGTTTAATTAAACAAACGTACGCCTAAGGGGCGTACTAAGAGGTAAGCAGGCAACACAATGTATTAATTCTGGTGACGGCTGCCATCCTAAGTACGTTGGGATGGCTGGTTTTATACTAGCCCCCTGCCAAGCCCGCACAGATATCACGTGAGATAAGCTCACGTGATATCCACACAGAGTTAGATCAATATACCTGTGATTAACGTTCGGACAAGAAGTAACATTTTTAAGAAAAATATAATTTTTTTAAATAGCTTACTACTGCTTTGCCTGTCACCTTAGCAACAGCCTACATAGTATAGATGCTGCTTAAATAACGTAATTACTTTTATTTACTTTAAAAATTTAGTTTTTTAAGCCTTTATTACAACTTTAATTTTACAACCTTAACTATACTACTACAAACTTTGTTTATTAGTTTTATATAACACTATTTAAACCTTTACTAAGCTATTTATTACCTGTTTATTACTACTACATAACTATAGCAAAGTGTAAAAAAAGCCTATTAGAATACTTAATAAATGCTTTTACTATAAGAAATCTTAAAAGATAAACTTAGCTTACTAAAAAAAATACTTAACGCAACCTAGACTATATTATAACTAATATGTACTATTTTAAATTTTAGAGTAATAAGTTCTACTTAGCAGTTTAGCATCTTCTAGACACTAAATATAACATTAATAAAAAGTCTAAACTAAAGTTATAACTACGCATTTAGTCTAAAAACATAGCAATAGCACTTTAGTAAGTTAATATAGTATTAGACAGGTATTAGACAGCAGCTAATATGTTATAAATTTAAGAAAAGTAAACACTATAGCTAGAAAGCAATTGCGCGCAGTATAGACCCTAGCAAATTTAGTAATAAATATGCATTCTTTATCTAGTAAACTAGGCTCTTTAACCTACTAAAAGAGTTTATGCCTCCTTAACACTGCTAACTAGATAAGGAATCTATAAATATAGGACCTATAGATATTAATAGCTCTAAGCTTATAAACAATCTTAGTCTATAAGCTAAAGCACTAATGCA